AAGAGTTGGCGGTGGCGGTGATGACTAGCTGCCTTCCCTCTACTCTTACACTGCTAAATTAGGGACGGCTAGCGCAGATAGCCCTCGTGTAGCTTTGCGCGAAATTCAAAAACAAAACAATACTTTAACCATTTTCTTCTTCATTTGAATACGTTAATAAATGTTTTAAACACAAGAGAAACCAAGATATCATTTGCAGTCATCTGTATTCCCGCGCTTTTTATGTAGAAAATCGAATTCTAATTGAAAAATGGACTGTTCTTACGTCACAAAGAAGAAAAAGAAAAAAAACTCTTACGATATACAGGGCCACAAGGAGCATCACACTGTAGCATTTCGACAAAAAAAAGTTTCACATAACTTATTAAACATTGTTGAATGTTACCTACTCCATCAAAATGTTTTATAGCTGTTCAACTTCGAGGTTCGATCTCTACGGTGGGCACAGCACAGGAAGACCATTGTGGAGCTTTGTGTTTAAGAACAACCATTGAAATGTCACCCAAATTGAAACTTTTATCTAAAATGTGATCATTCATATTTTAGCTCTATCACAGTCCATAAGACCTGCACCGTCAAAGATATATATATATATATATATTTAGTTCGCTCAGTTTTAAACCAAAATTGAAACGGTGTTGCATATATATACACCATTCTTCATCTAAAACAGATTTCCTTGGACCACAGCTCGACCTACACAGTAGTTCAGTGGTGAAACATAATGGCCGCGGGAAATGATTGGTCTTCTTTTGTATCTGCTTCGATAATAAGGTGAAACAACAACGAAAATAAGTGCTGTAAGCAGATTGCATCATTCCCACTTGAACAATCTTGTTAGGTTTCCTTAGTTACATGTTGATACAGGGAATTGAGTCGCACCGTGGCAACAGGAGGCTGACTCAGTGTAGCAGCAAAGTGCCCGAGGAGGTCACCTGATGGGTTGTCAAATAACATTGTGGGCGTCAAGAACAGAATGTGGATTTTGTTGGTTTAATCAGACTTGCTCTTAAGCGTTCCCATTTTCAACTAATAGATGAAATTTCTCACAAAACTAGGAACACAACAAAATAAAAAAGGGTGTTTTAAAATGATAAGAGGTCCCGAATTTTTTGGTCATCTCTCTGGACTAGGTAAAAAAAAAAAGACTCTCTATACACTCATCATATCATCCGTGCTTTCGAAACCTTTTAACAAAAGACAAAACTTAACAAGCGGCTTTTGGAGCGCCCTCTACTAAATTCATCACAGATGTAAATAAATGTTTTTTTTGTTTTTTTAAATTTTGCTCATGTGTTTAAAGACTACATTGCTTAAACCGTAAAATAACACAAGTATATAATTACATATAGGGATGGGTTAGGTTGTTGTTAAGCGCAAAGCTACACTATGGGCTGTCTTTGGTCTGCCCACCAGTGGTATCGAAACTCGGTTTTGGCATCGTAAGCCTGCAGAATTACCGTTGAGATATTAGGATCAATCACGTAAAGAAACATATTTAAAAAGACGCAAAATAATGATTAGTGATCAGTAGTGTTAACTTCCTTTTCTCTATTATAAGAATTTTAACAAATTGATAACAAATTTCACAGTGAATTAAACAAACATTGAACTTGTATTGCTAGATCCTTGGAGTTCCTCAATCTCAATTTTGAGGATAGGAATGGAAACGAATCGTGATGACTTTGCTTTGTTTTTTGTTGTTTGTAGTTTGTAGTTAAACACAAAGCCACACAATGGGCTGTCTGCACTCTGCCTACCACGGGTATCGAAACCCGGTTTCTAGCGTTGTAACTCCGCAAAAATACCGCTGTGCCACTGGGAGACATCATGATTACATTTTATTTACGATTTAAGTTACTGATGACGAAATCTGTCTTTATATCACCAACATCATGTAACTGTTAGTCATGACATTTTATTTATAGCATAAATTACTGACATGTTTTGATTTTAAAAACACCCGTATCTGAATTTAATAGCACTATTTTTCATCGTTGTAAGTCCGCAGACATACCGCTGTGCCACTGGAAGGCTGGCTGCTTTTAAGCACAAAGCTACACAATGGGCTATATGTGATCTGCTCACCGCGGGTATCTAAACCCGGTTTCTAGCGTTATAAGCTCACTGACTTACCGCTGAGCTATCGAGGAGCAGATCGATATATATATACAGTCATTTCTTTTAGTTCGAAAGATTTTTGTTATATCATACATACACACACACACACACATTTATCTGATCGATATAATATCATTGCTAATAACAGAACAAATAAAACTCTCCGAGTCCCTTACAAATAAGCAAATGCGCATGCGTGAAGTTGTTTCGGTTCGAATTCGGCCTGCTTTGATCGTAAGTCTAGCACTTAAATTTGAGACGTAAGCTAATAAAGAAAACGTATTCAGAGCGTAGAATTTCAAAGCCACTTTGTCTAGATCTTTCGCTCAGAATTAAAAGGACTCAATCACCTCTGTATGAAAGTCTTATTCAATAAGATTATTTACCCATTCTTTAATCTCACGGCTGCGGGTTCAAAGATAAGATAAGTAAAAGACAGCATGCTTTGGTAGTTTCAGGGAAGAGGAAATAGAATAGCTAGAAACCGGGTTTCGATACCCGTAGGGGGCAGAGCATAGATAGCCCATTGCGTAGCTTTGTGCTTTAAAACGATCAAACTGGGTATTTTAGATTTGTATTTGGAAATCGTCTCGTATATCAAACAGTTGCGAAACAATTGTAGATGGCTGACACTTTTCTTACATTAACGTAATCCTTCACATCTTATTACATTATATTAACTTATATTACAATATAAGTTACTCAAATTCTGTGCCAAAGACAAAAGGTTAAAATTATAGCAAATGTAATCGTTATTTACATCTTTGTTATTTCCTACGTGCTAAACTTTCTCGAGTCGTACAATACGTATTACATATATTTCAAGTAAATCCATAAATTAGCACGACAGTCAAATATAGCTGCTCAAAGGCAAAATTAAATACGTAATTATTTTATATATTGATAAGTGGTTGGAGATTGATGGAATGATTAATGTCTCATGTGCCGAACCAGTATTGTGTGTTTTTGTTAGGAAACTGTAGCAAAAGACAGCTGGCCCGGCATGGCCAGGTGGATAAGGCACTCGACTCGCAATCTGAGGGTCGCGGGTTCGAATCCCTCTCACACCAAACATGCTCGCCCTTTCAGCCGTGGGGGCGTTATAATGTGACGATCAATCCCACTATTCGTTGGTAAAAGAGTAGCCCAAGAGTTGGCGGTGGGTGGTGATGACTAGCTGTCCTCCCTCTAGTCTTACACTGCTAAATTAGGGACGGCTAGCGCAGATAGCCCTCGTGTAGCTTTGCGCGAAATTCAAAAAACAAACAAACAAAAGACAGCTATAAATAGACCGATACGTAGACAGATGATAGATAAAGAGTCAGGCAGGTAGTCAGAGAGAGTCAGAGTGATAATGAGAGATAGGAAAACGAATTGATAATCAGATAATCAAAGAGCGAATTAAAGAAATAACCAGAGAGATTCAGAGTGACAATGGGAGATAGGAAAACGAATTGATAATCAGATAATCAAAGAGCGAATTAAACAAATAACCAGAGAGAGTCAGAGTGACAATGGGAGAAAGAAAGACGAATAGAACGATAAACTACCAGAGATAGAAAGAAAGATTAACAAACACGGGAGAGAGGCTGAAAAAAAAAAGATAAATAGACTGACTGATAGAGCACGTGATCTTTTGGTCCTACAGTGTGTTTTATGGGATATTTATTTTCTGTCGTTTAGTCTGTACAGCCCTTACTCGGATATTTGGCCGGTATTTAATGTAAAATTAAACAACTACGTAGCACGTGCGTGAAACACTGTCGCTTGTTGTAGCCAGGCGAAGGAAACTGAAAATAAGACGGCATATTTAGTGACTTCACTAACGGTCATATAAAAAAATATTGATAGTTTATTTGTATTTTTAGCGGAAAGCCACAGGATGGGATATCTGTGCTGTTCCCACTAAGGGTACCGATACCCGATTTTTAGCGTGATAAGCCCTCAGACTTATCGTTGAGCCACCGGGAGAATCGAATCCCGGATTTTAGTGCTGTAAGTGTATAAACTTACTGTTCAGAAGAAAATAAATGGAGCCGGATCAAAAGAGAAAGGTAAAAAAAAAATAGAAAACTGAAAAAACAAACAAACAGAAAGATAATTATTTTGTCCAAACAGAAAAAAAGTTATACATATATATATATATATATATATTCACACACACACACACACACATATATATATATATAAATTTGTTTGTTTGT